CCCCAAAACCCCAAAACCCCAAAACCCCATAAGATGTCTAACTTGTAATAATCAAGTAATTAAAATATATCATCATCATTATTCTTGTTATTACGAGGATTAATTAGAGAAATGCTGTTGTAATTGAATTGTGTTCTTAGGAGATCCAGAGTTCTACTTTATAAGCGAAGAAATGGATCCAGGCCCACCACCCATTCCCAAAGAGGTAGATTATTGGACTGTATGATTGTATACATTTTATATATTTCTTCTGACTGATCTCCTCTTCTTAGTTATTTCCCTAACTACTTGATTGTACATTATATTGCTTGATCTTTTTGTAGGACTCTACAAAATAGGATAAAGTTGTGATTTACGCTGAGTTTCACTTATAGCGGTTTAGAAGTCACTTTAGAGTTGCTTTTAGTTCTGCGGGATCGCTCTGCTTGTCATATAACCAGCAGGTGTATTGCCTCTCTTAATAAACTTAAATGAAGCCCCATCTGTATTTTAGTTGGTTCTAGGCGTATTCATGGTCAAATGATTGGTGTTGTTATTAGTTTAATTATTCAGGTAGGAATTAGAATAGTCTTTGAACCTTTGAATGTAGTTTCTTTGAGTATTTATCTGATTTATTTTGAACTAATTCATCTGAGATATTCTCTGCTTTAATGGTGAAAGTTTTTGTTACTGTTCATCAAACTAATTAATGATTTTTTTAAAGTCTAATCTTGGAGTTTTAGAAAAATTCAAATTGCTCTGTATAGACACCTTTTATTAAAGCATTGGTTCAAATTAAGTGGGATTACCTATGATGGGTATTGATTCTTGTGGTTCATTACTGGAGCTAGATTTCTTTCCAGATTCAGATGAATCATCTGAACTAACATTTTTTGTATCAACTTCAGGAATCTGCTCAAATATTGCATTCATACTAGAAATGTCCTGATTGGAATTGTTCTTTATTAAAGAAGTACTATGTCTCTACAAATACTAGTTTTACTCAGCTCTGCCAGTAGCTTGTGTTAAATATTTCATGAGATATTTGCTTTTGTTACCTTGATTTGTTTATTAATAGTTTGTACTATTACTATTGTTACTCATTTGATTTTAAATTAAATTTTATTGATACATTGTACTCTATCTTTGATTCATTCCATTATTAGAGCCATAATTTTGGAATATTAATTTGCTTTACGGATTTTAATTTGAAGTACTCCTTTTTCCATTATTATTGTGCTAGACTTAAAGAATCCCGCCGAATCCTGCCAAAAATTCCAAATTGCTCTCCCTCCGTGAGTTATCTTCTTTATTAAAATTCTTGTGCGGGTAAAAGAAAGGTAGCTGTTCCTGCTTCTTAAAATTTTATTTCGCAATTTCCAAATGAAATCTAAAGTTACTATAAGGACTAACTATCGCTTTAGCTAATTTAGTCCACGGATCTCTAAATTCATCAACGTTAAAGTTCATCATGGCTTCATCAAAAATAGGCAGCTTTTCGAATAGTTCACTTGAATTGTACTTTAGATACTTAAAATTAACCTTTCCCTGATCATCAAGCAACTAATGTAAAATTAAAACAATAATCATACATTAACTTCCTTCTTGGTTTGAGGACTAAGCTAGCTTATCTGTTCTTATAGACTAATGTTAATTAAATATGACTCTTAATATAATTTATATTTTACCTAATGACACTTCTGCTGGCTCACCTAATTAATTTCAGCCTTACTCTATTTGCATTCTTGGGGCCGCTTGAATCAGAGTCAGAACTACTGCAACTACTGTCTTAAGAAGATTCTTCACCCTAGCCTTTTTTCTAAGAATAACTGATGAGTTCATTTCTACTAAATCGAATACTTACTCTTCGAAAGTACTTGACTTTCTAAGAGCTATCATCTACTATGATATTGTATGCACTTTTTAACTTTTTCTGCGATTAAGCCATTTAATTCAATAATTAAATTTATGATAATCTTAAAGTATCATTCGAAAATTTCAAAAATGATGAATGCTTGGGGGTTTTGGGGTTTTGGGGTTTTGGGG